TAAATAAATAGAGTATGCAGACTCTTTAACATTTAATATTGTGCAAGGATGCCTTCCATTCATATCCTCATTCCTTCTATGCTTTTACTGAAGTTCTCAACAGAAAAGAACAGATTTTTTTTCTAGTAATCATTACATTTTGATTAGAATGCCACTTTAACAGTGAAGCTAGAATTAGGTTCTTCTCTTTTACATCCTGAGAAAAAGAACTGGGGAGGATTCTGCTCTTGTACTTTAACCGAGAAACTAATTGAAATGGCAAATTTAGCATCTGATTACTATTAAACTTCCTCAAATACTTAAAAATATTTCAAGATAAAATCCCACTTTATCATGATGAGAATTTCTACTATATCCACTCCATACTAAGAGAATTTCTTTATATATGGGTATATAGATGCTATGAGAATTTTCATTTCTTTTTCAGTTACTTTGCCTGATAATGGTTAAATATTGTTATTCCCTTGTCAGAACAAAAGGAAATTCAAATGTTGAACATTTACTTCAATTCAATGCAAAGTGCCACATTATTTTACATATGGAATATGATTTAGTAACCAGTCCTCAACTAACTGGAGTCTGCAACAGGGGAGAGAACACAACAGAAGATTTTATGTTCATTCAAGTATACAATACTTCTCTTTTTATTTAAAAAAATTCAGTCTTTCTCTGTCCTACGCAGAGATTATTGAATGTGATACTGTGACTGCTTTGTTTAATAATGCTATATTCCAGGTTGAACCTTTAGAGTAGTTTATCAATATAAAAAGATTTAATCGAGTGAGCTTTGCGATACGAGGGAAATAGATGGAAATCTAATCAAAGAACACCTCGTAATTGCGAAGTGGCACTTTTATGAGTGTAGACCACAGAAGATCAAAACATAGTGGCAGCTGCACGAGAGCAAAAAATGCCACTGGTATACTAGCAACACCATATATTGGAACTGATGCATATCTCAATTTCTCTCTCAGGATAAAGGTATGCCCTGCACAGAATGAGATCAACATAGCAACAATGGATGCAAAGAGAGAACTTAAGCCCAGCAAAAGCTTCCCCGGCATTGTTTTTTCGAAATCACGTTCCTCACATCTCGAAGTAATGATGGAAAGAAAAAACACAAGGGCTGTGACAGCGAGGATAAGAGCAACTAGGGAAGTGATGGAAAACACGTCAAATTCTGTTTGGTTTTCCAGAACTGGATGCCCAGTATCCTCTTTTAATCCACCAGGCACTGTGGCTGAGGTAGCGAATGCAACAGTGGCAATGAGTGCAGCAATTACAGAACATGACTCTGATGTTTTGATAAGCCAATTAGTGCCTTCTTTGACTAGCTTTCGGTGTGTCTGTGTGAAGATCTTCCCTGGGGTTTCTCCGCTAGTGTTGTTGTGAACAAAGCTTCGTCGTGGAATTTTGCTCTTAACATACTGCATCGGGTTCGAAATATTGGTTAGCATTTATTTCTATTTGAAAATCTATCCATTTTCTGTCTACTCTTAGAAGTTAAAGATAGAAATAAGGAAACACGATAACTAGCTGAGATAAAAACTTAAAAACTTCAGATGCAGGACACATGTATAATTTAAATGATTTTAGATGTAGTTGTTCAATGTGGTAGCAGAACAGACGGAGAGCATATAATGGTCTTGACTACCAAGTCTTGCCGCCAACCATTTATTAATATATATTTATATTTATATATATATACACGAGGACTTAAGTTTCCTAGTACCTTGTACCATTTGATCTCGCATTGCATCTGCAGAGCAGCACCAGGAATGCGCCATGGTAGAAATTCCCCCAGCATTGCAGCAAGGTGCAGAATGGTGTTTCCTTGATCATCGAATTGGAGAAACANACACACACACACACATTGTTTACTTGTCAAACTACTTGAAAGAAAGTCCCATTTTTTCTTCCACCAAGTTATAACCCATCATATATTGTCCTAGCCTCCTCCTGTGCCTGGCTATTCGATTATTCATTCTCTCCTTCATCTTTGTGTGGAATGCTAAATGCTAGTTGAACCCATGGATTTTTGAAGCAATACTATTAAACAAGGCCTATCCTTGACATGTCTAGTTATTAAAACTACTTGAGGTTCGTATTTTGGTCTTTTTCGTAATACTTGTGAGTGTCTCCTTCAAGTCCCCATGATGGTTCGTGTCAGATTGGTGGTTGACGATTTTCTTTCTCACCAACTTCGGATTGTTTGGATGGCTTAGTTGGCAAGTACTGTTCATGTAATTTGGTGCATCCTTTTGCTCTTCAAGAAGACTATTTTCTCGGATCAATTAAATTTTTGAACTCAATTTAGTTTCTACAACAACATATTTAGTTTGAGGGGATTTTGAAGATATGTAAAGATTATAAAATTTATTCTTCATGATACTTTTCTATTTGTGTTAGTATTATTTTCTTTAAGAGTTAATTGTGTGAGTATTGCACAACCTTTCCTTTTAAAGTTATTTGTAACCTTATAAATATGGTCTTTCACTTATAATAGTTACATAAGTTTTATTTACAATTTATAATTCTAACAAATCTACTACAACAATGTCTATCACGTGAAATGCCTATTGGATTATGGTTCACCAAAAATGATCTAAAAGAATTAAAAGGTTTCATAGCCTAATGTTGGATTTTAAAACCCAATAAATCTTGAGCCATGATGTTAAAATGTTGTTGACCCAACTTGGTTTCTAACCTATGTAATGAGGCTTTTTTCTACCCAAAAGGTGGGTGTGCAGTTGATTGAAAGGTCAGTCGTTCTTGATGATCTGTGCATTTGAGGGTGCAATTAATCACCATATTTTCATTGTGAGTGCCAGTAAGTGGCAACTTGAGTGGAAAATGGTTGTGGGTTCAACCCTCTCTTTGATTAGTGTTTGATAGGTTATTGTTGGTTGAAACCGAGCTCCGATTGCACGATTAAAATTTTTTGTGCTAATTTCCTCGAAAAATGATATCAAAGCAATAAATTGTAAAAAATCTACCGAAAACAAAAGTAAAAAATGGAAACCATAAATTGTCCAAACATTTCAATCTGTTCGAATATGAAATTACGATTTTCGGTCAATGCAAAAGGACAATTAGGGAAATCAAGATCAGATTCGAACTCTGCAGGTCGAGATGAAGCTGTCTGACTAGTGCTTGGAGCATCAACGCGGTGGCATGTAATGGTTACACACAACGATGGTAATGGAACGTAGAGGCATGTGGGCAAGATTTCATTGACTGTCTCATTTGATAGTTTGTTCCTGATGACACTATGAGCACTATGATAGTATTCGGTTTCAATTTTGGAAAAAAAATTATCGTCCTGAACAATTTTTCCTTTAAGTGTTCAGGAGTCAGGTGTCGTTATGATTTGATTTAGTTGTTAGAAGCTTTAGGATGAAGTGGTGGCCCTAAAGCAATAAATTTATATCTCTCCTTAATTACGGACTCATAGAATTGGTTTGTCCGTTATCATGTTCTTTCATTTTTATTATTACATTTAAGGCTATCGTGTGGGTAGTCATTTAGTTTTCGCATTAGAGTTCATATTGTGGAGTGACATTACTAGCCATGAGGGTTACTGTGAGCTTCTTAAAGGCTGATTGGCTATTCACTATGAATGGTACCTGTACTTTACATGTGATCATTGTTTGGTTGTATTTTGTGTCTTGTACATTTTTTGGGTAAAATGACAATACATTTTGAGTTAGGTTACTCTAATAGCAAAAAGGGATTTTTTATTTATTTATTTTATTTATTTTATTACCAATTTGAAAGTCAAAAAGTTTTTTAATGCAATTGATGGAAGGTCTAAGGAAAGAGTGAAAGGTAAACAAATGTTTAATTGTTGTAAAATTGAGTATCTTATAAGAGATTGTCATAAAGAAATAATAAGAGGAAACATAAGGTAAGAGGTGAGGTGAATGCTGCTATTGGGTCTAGATACGACCCAAATGAGGTTTATTGATAGTAAACCTCATTATTGCATTTGTATCTGTGTGAAATGTCATTTGCATGAATGGTTGCTTGATTCAGTGCATTGTTTTATATTACAATTCAATATGGTTGGTACATGTTTTTGTATGAATTTGAGAGGGATTTATTACTGTATGTGATGCATTCACATGACTCCACCCATCTCTCTAGACCCGTTCCTCGAAGTATATTGGGCTGGAATGCCTCCATTCCCATCCCCTCATTTATGATCTCTTGGCCTTTCCGCTATGAGATATTTCTAGTGCAGAAGCATATTCATGCAGAATACTCTTCAAAATTTTTTTCCTCTCTTATCTTATAACAGTAAATATATCCATTGGTAATATGGAGTATAGATGCTTGAGTGAGCATAGGTGTGGGAGTGACATTTAGATCACAAGAGGTGATTTGATTAAACGTTTGGAATCCTCTATTTGTTAGAATCTCGATTGGGTGAAGTTAGAGAGTGACACTCCTATTACTTCTATAAAGTGGAGATCC